CCTACAAAGTTTATTTTAACAGGAAAACACAGCCACAGGCCAGAATAAGGGAAGAAAAGTGTTTAGCAAACATGAGATAGAGCTTGCTTCAGATTGACAGGACTAGTTAAAAGAAACTAATCAAAGCTATCATAAAGCAAATAGTTGTTAACTCTGTAGTTGACAAGAACCTAGAGTTCAGAAAGTTCATCAGGAGGGCAGTAGGCGCACTGGCTGGAATCTGAAGGCAGGCAAAAAGATTACAATAGTTTAAGAAAGCATGACCAATTAGGACAGATTTAAAGGTCCAGAAGATTAAAATTAGGCAAACTTTTTTTTTGCCTTTATAAAACAAGGAAATTCTGTCAGTTTAATTTCAGCATCCCAAAGATACTGACTTGTGTCAGCAAAGACACTGCAAAGATCCCAAGTTCCAACTGATGTGCAAAGAGCCATGGGGAAAAAAAAAAGAAGAAAAAAAAAAAGGCAAAAAGCCAACTAATCCAAGTTTGTTGAGCAGAATCTGTGCAAACAGTGAAATATCCTCCTTCGACTGGAAGATTAGTCTAATTAAAAACAGGAGGTATAAAGATGCAAACAGAAGGCTTTTAGAAATAATTTTGACAAATTTCTCACATTCAAATCTCAGAAAAAATTCAAGAGAATGTATTCTAATATGGTAACTACTAGGTAGGCATAAAAAGAGCTGAAAACTTATACTAAAAGTCTATTAAATAATTAGAATATAGCAAATTTATGAAAAGCAAAAAAACCTGGCACGACCCCAACTAGATCTGGGTTGCAAATACAGACAGAACTGAGAATTATAAATTGAAAATGTGGTTGGGAATTATATTTCACTTGTGATCAATGCACAAAGCTCTATGTATAGAATTTGACCACTCTATGGAAGTTATGTAGTCAGGCAGCAACACAGCAGGGCAACATGGCCACTAACACCACAAACTGATGAGCCGGCGGTGTGACACTGTTGGAAGGCTGAGACAACAGTCCTCACTCTGGCATGTATTAACAGGCCTGGCTTGAGCAAGAGATCAGATTAGTTTTGTGCACATGGAGAAGAAAGGTGATACACTTTAATAGAAAAAGAGACTTCTAGTGTGTAAAAATTATTAGATATGTTAAGTGTTCTACTTAAAAACTCAAGCTCAGAGGTAGCCTTTTATAAATACACAGAATTTACAGCGGTGATTATGTATGTAAGAGAAAGCTTTTTAAGTGATAACATGCTGACAGTGGTGAGGCACTGGCCCAGGTTGCCCAGAGAAGCTGTGGATGCCCCATCCCTGGAGGGGTTCAAGGCCAGGCTGGATGAGGCTTTGAGCAACCTGGGCTGGTGGGAGGTGTCCCTGCCCATGGCAGAGGGGCTGGAACTAGATGATCTCTAAGGTCCCTTCCAACCCAAACCATTCTGTGATTCTATGATTTACTGGAAAGGCCTGTGCTGGCATGTTGTAGAATCTCCAAGATTCCAAGAAAACATGCATTTGTGACTCAGATGTCCCTTAAAAGAGTATGAATACAACTGATCTTGCCACACTACAGGATGGGTGTATTGGTCTCTAGCCAATCCATATGTTTCTAATTCTATGAGGTTTTTTAGCCAGAAAAAAACATGGAATTTTTAGCTGGAATTCTTTAGCCAGAAAAAAACATTTTTTTTTTCTGCCCAAGTGGTTACCTCTCCTGTTCCATACTTGTTTGATATTATATCAGTTTAGTGTTAATTTTATCGTAAGTTATAAAATAATATGGAAAGTATGTAGAGTGGAAAAAACTAACTGACTGAAGACTACCACACAACTCACCTTCCCCCGTGCATGCTTACACGTCTCAGGGTGAAGCTCTAAGAAAGGCAGAAGCAGCGGTAGCAGGATGCCTGCCCAGTGAGTGCTTCGCTTGCTGCAGACGGCTGCATGCCACGAGGCTGTGGAGTACTTTTGGCCAATCCAGACTGGCAGAGTGTCTGGTGTATGTCAAACTAAGCCACAGCACAAGAAACGCATCTCTTTCTTTACAAGGCTGTTAGTCTGAATTATTCTGCTGCACTAAACAAGACTAATATTGGTAGCAGTAGAATTGATGTATATTATTTAATCAGAGTTTACAGAATAAAGTGTATGTCATGGTAGTACTTTCTCAACTACTTCGTCATAGAAAACAGAAATCATTCAGTAATGTAAAAATTACAGTACTCATGCAAAGTTAGGGCTCATTATAGCATTATAAGAATACTCTAATTGCAGTAGATGGTACTCTTCCAAAAGCATACCATACACTGCAGTAACAACAAAGGCTGCTGCTGCAGTCTAATCCTATGTGGGATTAACTGCAGACAAGAAATGCAGGTAGCATTCCCCTTTGTATAGCTACATTTTTATTGTTAAAAAAGTTAATATTTTAGCAGTAATGGAATAAGCAACTAAAATATAAAGTTAAACCCAACAGCTAGAGCATTTGATGTATTTTACAAAGTCACTGGGATAATGCCAGTGTTTGGCTCACCCTCAAAGAAAAGCATAAGCCAGGAAACAGTATTAAGGCTTTTTGATGCTCCAGAGATTAATTATTCAGCTATGACAAACAAAATTCAGGAGGGCACTGCTCAAGTCTTACTCTAACTTGTTTTATGACTGCATCTTCAGTGTGAAGATTTTCCTGTTGCTCCCAACTCACCCAACCTATCTATGCCACTATTCATGTCTCATATAAAAAACAAATACCAAAGACAATCTAATTTCTATTCTGGGTCAACACCATGCCGACAAAAAGCCAGGAATACACAGCAGCACTGTGCTCTACTACTTATTTGCAGTCAGGAGGGTTCCGTCAACCACGAGCTGGACTGACCTGAATAATGAAAGCTTACAACATATGCAGAGCTTTTGCTGGTTTGCAGTCACTAGCGCTATTATACCGTGAAGTTGTGATGCTGTATAGAAGACACATGGATGCTTTCTCATTCCTCAGCTGGCGAGTGTGCTTAAGCTGATGAAAAGCTGTAAGGAGGACTTGCCTCATCCTGCATCACCCTGTTAAAAAGCAACATGATGATTTCAAAGAAAAAAATAAAATAGTCTGGTGGATATACATAAATATTTATTATCAGTTTAACTTCATTTTACTAGAAGTCTTTAAACAGTTTTTCTTTTTTGCCAATATGTTGCATCTGTGACACAGTTGCTACTGTCATAGCTTCCCTGCACTGGGAATGCACAGCTTACACTTAGATTCCAAAACAATCTATTCAAGATAAAGAACCTTCAACTTTAGTGCATATGGAACTATTTAAAGATTGGTAAAAAGACCCCCCCCCTTCCCCCTCCCAAATTAAGAGTCTTTTACAAAGAGACTTCATTACCAAAAAGTGAATATACAAATGCTAAAAAAAATGCTGGCTTGAAAAAGTGATTTCAGAATTTACTGTACACATTGTAACAATTTATTATATAAGCTGCTTCTACATGCAAGCAGATCTTACATTTGGTGTAAAACATTTATACACATTCTTTACAATTTGTACATATTTAAATGGCTGTATCAAACAACACTGCGCTATGGAATTTTGTAAGCAAACAACTAAAATTGGGAGGAGAAAAAGACAAGGCTTATAAAACATGAACAAAACCCGTGACACTGAAAAGCATTTAGACTTGGGCTTAGTCTTGTTTGGTTTGGTTTCAGGTTATTCAGGCAGACCCAGATTTTCCTTCTAGCACACAAAAGTAACACCAATACAAAACAGAATAAGGCAACTATTCAACCAGCAGACTGTACCCGTCACTTAGAATGGCTTATTGGTAAAATGCCTTTTTAATTTTTTTTTTTTTTTTGCTAAAAATGTTTATTTTCTAGGCACATCTTAGCAAAAAAACTGCATTTTGGCTTTCCTGTTTGCTTATGGCATGAAATGAATTATTACTGTGGTTGGTGTCCATTATGAACAGGGCTGGTGGTGGCTTTTTTGTTTTGAAAAGCCCAGGCCTCAAATGACACTTCAGTAGTGTGAAAGAGGACACTGGGCCACTTGATAAGAGATGATGATCAAAGCATAGAGTTTGTGTAGTAACTGATTATGTTATTCAGTACTTTGGTCACCTTTTAGTTTGCATTAGAAGGTAACAAAAAGTAAGCCCAAGGGAAAAGGATACCATACCACTACACAAAGACCTGAGCTTAGTTGGAATTTGGGGACTTCTACTAGTTTGGATTAGATGAGGCAGTGTCCTCTCTGCTGAAACACTCCAAACTCTGAGGGGTAAAAGGGAAGCTGGCCCTGTACAGCACTGAGGAACACCAGTGCCTTATGGCATCACATCAGGGGCTGTCAAAGTGCTGGTAGGAAAACTGTTTTTCACACCTTCCTGAATGGCTCTTTCCTTGTTTGTACTTTGTCTTCTTACACAGTGCATAGCGAGAAAGAAAGAGCCTGACATAAGCTCTGAGGTGTTGTGCCACAAGTACAAGATTTAATTAGAAAGAAAAAAAAGGAAAGGGAAGAATGGATGATATTTACCAGAAGTCATAATGGGAGCAGTATGCCATGGCTGTGTATGGGAAACAAAACTTAGAACAAAGTGTTAATTCAGGAGATTATCGTGAACATGTACCAGAAACATACACGAATATAATTCCTCCTGGCTATTGAATCGCTAGAGAGCTGAATTGAATATAATGAGTATTAAAGTCATTGTCTCAAGCTTGTCTGCTTTCCCACTTAAAAAAAGATACAAATTTGTAACTGATGTTGATTAAGAGTTTTTGGAAGAACATCTGATAGATGCAAGTCTGCATGAAGTCCATGGCAACATGGCAATGTGATAATTTAGATCCCTGTAACTAACAGCATTATCTATCTGCTTTTATTTAAATAATGATACAAATGGGACAGCATTCAAGATAAGAGAACCTTATCTTATGATTTAGGATGATAAAGTAAAATTTTAAATAATTTTTTTTCTACAACCGATTTTTATTGTTGTTGGGTTTTTTGGTGGGGTTTTTTTGGCTGGCAAAGGCTAACAAGTTTTTATTAGCATTGCCCCCAAATCAGAAAAGCACTTCGGAGTTGTTCTTGATGGTTGGTTACTCCTTATTCTCTACATCACAGGAAAGCGGCTGAGTGCCTGCCTCAGCTTCTGTGCAATCTGAAACAAAGAAAGAGAGCATATTAAACATGTAGTCCCTTTATGCAGAAATGTGATTGCAGGCTAAGAAATTAAATTAATTGTTCCCTCATTTTCTGAAAAACTGCAGTTTTTACTGCAGATTTTGTGTATGCAGGACTTTCAAAGCATTCTAGTATAAAGACTTTCTTCTCATATACACCCTTCCTGCCTTGTTCATTTGGCGCTTTCACCACTTGGGTTGTGTTGGAGAAAGTACCGTAAGCAGGGCTGTCATCCTGACCATTAGGTTATGTAGCACTGCACTGTGCAGGAGGGCTCCAGGAACAAAGCCAGATTTTTCATGAAATCCATTTCCCTGCTCAAACTAGGCCAGACATCAGAACAGAGCTACAGTGCTCTTCCCACAGCTCTCATGGTAGCCAGCACCCCACATGGGAACATGGATCTGGTCCCTGTACTGGGGGAGAGAGGATTGGTACAAAAGAGACTGGTGAGGCTGCAACCAGAAGAACTGGGACAGACTAGATGATAAACTGAAAGAATATAAGGAAAAACCTATGCCTAACCACATGAGATGTGTCAAAGAAACTGAGCAAGGTGACCTGATGGGGGACCTGAAGTTCTCATCCACTAAAAATACCTCTGAATCCCCACTGGCACCTTTTACTGCTGTGAAGGGCAAGCAGTTGCTTATACCACTCCTTCAAGGCACCCAAGTCAGGCTCCAGGCACACTCAAACTCACGTTTTACCAGCATATCCTATTAGAAAATTTGTTCTTGGGTTTCATTTAAAAAACCACAAGGAATACATGCATAAGAACAAAGTTCAGTGCAAACTAAGGTTGTAAGTGAAGTGCTCAGAGTTAACATATTAACTACGTCACCTGAACTACTCCAATCCTCCCTGCCCCACACTTGTATACATGAGGCTTTAAATCACAGAAGCTTCCCTTTGTGCTCCCATCCTATGGGAGGGAAGTTTTGTTCAAATAGTTTATTGTTGTATTCAGTGCAGCAGGTCTTACTTATTGCATATCACAGTACTGGCATTGAAAAAAAAAAATCAAGCTGTCAACAATGTTTCTCAACACTGGTTTGTAGGTCTATTATGATGTAGTTATGTACGTAGGAATAGTATCTAAAGGAAAAATAGTATTTTAATTTTTTTCAAGTATCTGCTCTCTGTGAGAGGCTCATACAAAAAGATGATGACGTACTGCAAGTATTTCTTATAAAAGTATCAGCGCAGCACATGCCAGGAAAATGGCACTGAAATACTACACCTTACCGTTTCATAAAACTGTGCCTGCTGCTCCAGATACAGACGAATGACACTGTTGTAGTCATAAATCCGGTTACTGTGGAAGTGATTCATCTCAGCTGCAATTAGACCCAGGAGGCAAATTATTTAAGAGAAATATTTGTAATTAGGAACCATTTTCGCTCAGTTCAGGTTAGTTTCTGTGCAACAAGCTCAGCATCTGGCCTTGCCAGCATAGTTACTGTTCTCCTGCTTCCACAACCTGTTTTGCCTGCAGCACTCAAATGATGATGGAGCTGTACATAAAATTGGCAGGGTGTCAATTACTCACTGATAAAATGCAGACACGTCCTGGATAAAGCCAGGTTCTTGTTACAATACTCAGGTGTACAAGGATTTGATAAAGAATACAAGCAGGATTATCCCCTACTGAGGTACCTGCTCTTTCCTGAAGTGTTTCCAACAAAATTTGGCTAGGACATTCAGATTTCCAGGGGTACAGGTATCAAGTTGTAAGCCGCAGCTGTAATAATTTAGCTCAAAAAAGAGAGATACAGTCCATTTTTGACTGAGGCTGTTTCAGTAGGAACCTGAGAAACAGCATTACTGAATCCATAACACCTTTCACCACTTTCTGCATCTCCTGTCAGATCATAGCTTATGGTTGAAATAAAAAGTTAACTATATTTGAGATACCAACAGAGGGACAAGAAATATTGTAGATTGTAAAACTCAACCCAGAGGTCTTTTCCATGGTTACCACCTATCCCGCACAGTCCTCTTGCATCATGGGGACCAGAAAGGGGGGGGTGTGTGGGTGTGTGTTTTCTTGTTTGTTTTTAAAATCAATTTTGTGTGCTCGTCTGACTTTGTCCTGTAAAATACTGAGTACTCTTGGCTTTAAGTCAGCCAGAAAAGATGCAACTCCCTCAGCAGTAAGTAGTCCCAGAGAAGTCAATACCAGGATGCACTTCAGGGCTTGGTATGCTGCAGGACTGAGCCCCGACTCCTCACTTCCCCAGTGTTTCAAGGGCAGTGTGCTTACATCTCATATTTACAACATCTCCAAACTACAGAGGAAAAGGTCATTCAAAGAACATCCAGGAAATAAAATGTTACCCACAAGAGCATTAATCTCAACTGGATCATGTCTGACTAAGCTATGAGTCAGAAAAAACACTTCTGCACGTGCCAGACTGCTTCCTGTGCCAGGGCCCAGGCTTTTTCTTTGAGAGACATTACAATTTCAAAATGAAAGAATCAGTCTGAAGTGGTTGCTTTTTGTTGTGTTTGGTTGGTTTTTTTTTTGTTCTGTTTTGGTTTTTTTGTGGTTTTTTTTTTCTTAAATTGCATTTCCAAAACACGTATCTTTTCCAGTAGCAATACGAGATTTGCAAAAAAAAAAAAAACCAAAACACAAACAATGGGCAAAATAACTGCAATTTTAGGAAAATCTAAGCAGGTCACAAAAAACCCCAAAGGCCTATCTCTTACTATCATTCCTGGTAGAACAAAGATTCTCTTTCAAAGTCTGTTACTTAAGAGATGTCCTTCAGAGGTCTACAACATTACCATTTAGCCCAGAACTGCTTTTACCTTGTAGTGCGTAAGCCATGGTGCTCACACGTTTCACCATGTTCTGTTTGTCTTGTGGCGTTATTTTACTGGTTGCAACTAATTTATCACTTTCCTTCACTCTTTCTATTGCTCCCTGTAGAAACCAAATGCAGAAAAGATTAAGAGTAGATTAAAAGAGTAGACTGTAAAGACTTTTGAGTTGACATCTGAAATGCCACTGTCCACGTTTTGAGCTTGCACACTATACACATATATATGCACAATGACCGATTCTGCCACCTTCGCACATTTTTGCCCAAAGTTTGTTATTTCACTCTACTGCTTTCAAGAGTCCCAACATCTTGCAAGAAGTACCTTAAGAAACAGCTATGAACACAGTCACCAGGATATTGAGTTTGGTAAAGGCAGTAATACACAAGGTTATATACAGAAAGGACAAAAGAACCAAGTTTCAAAATACAGCTGACTGACACAACAGACATCTGACAGCCTCAAACTATCAAATGCCTGTAGAACCTTATTTGCACATTATACAAGATGAGACAACATATACGATTTTAAAAGAGACTACAACTCATTACAATGTATAACTCTCAATCCAGGAAAATCCTTGTGTCACATGAACAACATGCATAAAAATAAACATCTCCCCCTTCACAATGTATTTCTGCCAAACAACATTCAAGAGAATCTATTTACATGTCTCTTGGCAATAGGCTTATGTTTTGAGTTTTAAAAACATTTCTTCTCCTTTTATGGTATTTTCCCCCAAGGACTCTGTGGGATGAGGGATTGTAAGTGTTCTGAAGAAAGAATACACAAATCTGATATGCTTTTATGTTTGTTGCTCTCAGAAGTATGTTCTTGTTTTATACGTTTAACAATTCAAGTGGTTAAAAAACCTGTGTACTTGTTCAATACTTCAAAATGTTCAGTTTCCTGAAATATGTTAGAGCAAGCAAATTAAGACGAAGATGACTCTAGGATGAAAAAGAAAAGCAGAATATCTAAAACTAGATATAATGGCTAAGTTTCTTGCTTTATTATTTGAGGGCTTTCGTATTAGAGAGAACAAGGTTTTTGTTTTCTGTTGATCTTTCTTCCAGAAAAGTTAGCCCTATTCTCTTTTTTTTTTTTTTTAGTACTAAAGAAATGATTATTTATTACATATCAGTAATTTAGCCATGTAAGTGTAGTACACAATTTTTCCTACAATACTGGTATGGTTTGGTATCTACTACCATGTAAAACTCAAATACTACAAATTTACATTACTGTTGTTCAAATACTACAAATTTACATTACTGCTGTTCAGCACATGGGACATGAAGCTATCCTGAAGCAAACCCTGAAGCTTCTAATGGTCTATAGCAGAAAGTAGTGATATTCTCAAATCTTGAAGCAAGTTCTAGCTTCCCTCCCCTCTAAGTATTTTTTTATTTAAAAAATAAACATGTCAGCTTCACATCAACTTCCAATGTTTCTGGAAGCAGGGGCCAGGCTGCTGCACAAATGCAGGGTACCATACCACCACTTTTGTTGCTCCCTGTATTCTGTAGGTCTTCCTGCTGCCCAACCCTTAAAAGCAAAGGCCATTCACATACCTTATGAGCTCCTATGATGTCAGGGAAGCAGCCAAGAAAACCCTTATATTCATGATTTGTTTCCATCAAAAAGTGAAGATCTTTCTTCGGCTAATAAGCAAAGTGTAAGCATTAGTAAAAGCATCAGTAGCATATTACATCACAGAAAAGAAACTGATGCCAAAAATAGGATGAGGGGAGAAAAGGGAAGGAAAGAATAGAAAAAAACAAACCAAAATCTTAATTGTTTGTTGCAAGTTTTTCATATTTAAAAAGGTCCTTATTAAAATACAAGCTCTTTGGAGTATGGCACTGAGCGCCAGAGGGCAGATGACTCTGTTATTCTAGTTAGAGGTTTTGCCTCAAATTTTCACTGAAGAGGAGTTACCCATCCTAGTAATGGCACTATTAAGCAACAATCTCATTAAATATACATATATGTACACAACAGGTGCACCTCCTTAGTTGCTGACTTGGAAAGTTGTTTTAAGAACTTACAGACTCAACCTTCAGATCAAGAGAATCTGCATTTTGGAGACTTTAAGCTTAATACGCCAAACATCAATTTATGACTCTAATACTGACACCAATCAGGATTTATTTAAGCTAGACTGTTACTGAAGCAGGCAACTGCATATCAAGACAATGAATCACAGCGAGATCTGCATCCTGTAGACATCTGGGGAATGCAGGGGGAGGGTAGAAACCCTATCCTTGATCAAATATAATTCTGTTGTATCAGTAATGAAGAACAACTCACTAACATCAGAAAACAAACACATTTAAAGATGAAGTAATCACTGTAGTATTTTAGAAACCAGAATGCGAGCTTTCTGATCCAAGAGAAATACCCTCCCACCACATCCCCCCTGAGCTGACACACAGTAGAAAAGCTGATGAACATGCATTTAAAAGTATTAACAGTAATTTCATTTAACTGGTCTGCGGCATTAGCAGTTATGTTTTAAACAGAAAAGAAAAAAAAAAAAGTCAGAAGTGATCCAAATAGCTGATATGTTTGAACACACTACATCAATGCATTCATCCTACCTGATCTGCTACAAGAGTGGCGATTTCTTCATAGGTTTTTCCTGCTTCTGTTATTGCTCCATTGAGATCAGATTCTCCTAAAATTAAACATAAGTGTTCAAATTACAGTAAGTCATTTACAGTAAGAAACTTGCCTTGATTCAAGGCAAATTTCTAAGTTATTTTACAATAACAAATGCCTAGTCATCATTTTGTAAGCAGCAGTAATACAGAAGTTAGAAAAATATTGGTCTTTTATACCATTAAAGAAGGAAAACTCTGAAGGTCTTATAGAAAATGAATGCTAAAGGAACCACATAAACACTGTTCTGCCATAGTACAGCACTACTTGCTTCCACATTTCATAAATATATGGAGCTTAAATACACAGGTATTGCTCCACACAGGGCAACAGGAAGCCTACCAGAGTGGGAGGGAAAGGAGAACGAGGAGGGTGACAACAGAAGATACACTCACAAAGGTGAAGAGACACCTGCTGTTCTGATTTTTAATATGTTATTTCATACCCGATACACAGTAAATTCTCCACGATGCCCTGTGAAGAAGTGATGCTAGCCCTAAGCTCTTCAACAGTCCTGGACCGCAAAAGGTCAGAGAAGCAGAAGGAGGCCCACCTAACTTTTTTTCCTTGGCAACAAGATTTCTGACCCTTTAGGGGAACTTTTGGACAATATTTAAGCTCTGTAAGAACCACTGGTTTTCAGTGAACATTTCTAACTTCCATCATCATATAAAAGAGATCAAAGGGCCCCACAAACTACACTTAAAAATACAAACACCACCACAAATCTTAAGGTAGACAACACCACAAGTGCTCATAACACTGTATTTCTACAGGACACGGCTATGTGGGACAAAGATGGAAACAAGCCTTACATTCTTGGTTTTCTCATGCCACTTCACCTTCCCAAACCACCACAGGTTTTTTTCCATTCTTGTTAGCTTGTCCAAAGCATGTAGTCAACAGTATGGAAAGCAAATTGAGGTAGAGAAAGGGGAAGGTATAATTTGCAGATATTGGATATTAGATTAAGAAAAAAATGATTTTTCTCATCCTTTCAGACATGTCTTGATATTAGGCAGCAGTTAGTCTTCTATGAACATTTTGTTTTTATTTTATTGACATTAATCAGCGACTTAACTGAAATTTACCAAACATTGATTTCATTAACGATTAATTTCAACATTAAAGTATTTTCTTCTACAACATATGGACTAATCTATGTTAGAGATTTATTAGATAGAATGTCTTCATTTTAGCATGTCCTGAAGGACACAAGGTAATGACTGAATGTTGCTTCTGTACAATCAATCAATTCTCACTTTCCATTAGACTGGTTTCATAAAGCCAAAAGCTTTCTGGGAAAGCTACTGATCCTAAGGAATTAGTAAATCCAGCAACACAAACACTGCTAAAGAAAGTTATTTTTCTCCTATTTGAGACTGTCTGGACAAAATAAAAATTAAAAAAAAAAACATGAAAACAACACAAAATCCCACTATGAGATCTAAGAGATATCTCATTCAGAAGATAGCTTCACATTGTTGTAAAACAACAACAAAACTTCAGGGAGATCAATTTCATCACTTCAGGAAGATTTAAAGAATTTCATTATTTTGGAATTCCCCATGTCTGCTCAGAAGTAACTGCTGCTTAGGTAACTGACTCCTTGATTTTGGGACAAATCATGGTGTGGCTTTAGTTACAGCCAGAAGCCAGGTTGGTCTAGATGTTGCTGTTCATTTCATAATGCCATAAAAGATGATTCCTATCCAAGCAAAAAGAAGGAGAAAGAGAATGTATATTTGAGTAGAAGAAGGAAAATCCTCCCCTTCTGTGCAGCACTCACTCAAAGGACTTTCCCAGAGTGGAGCTTCAAAGAATCTAGAAAAACCCTCCAAGCACCGATCCTCTTCCATTTGGTGGCAGGAGGGCATAAAGCCACCCTGCAGAAAGCACACGGTGCATTAAGAATTTCTACTACTAGCAGAGGCATTCACACTAATCCAAAAAAGGAGAGCTAAGGGACAGTATATTTAGAAGTTGTTCCAGACAGTGGATCCCAAAAATAGCCAGGCACACAAGTGCCTGTGCTCCTCGCACAGCATCCTTTTCTTCCACAAATCTCTCCTTCAGGTGGTACCAGGGCAACTTAAAGAGTGAGATTTCATCTCCCACCTGCTGCGCTCCTCCAAGTTGTAATACACGTTATCAGCAGTGCCATGCCACGCTCAGCCGGTCACTCCTCTACACCAGGCCACCTTGTCAGAAATACCACATGCAACCCACGTGCTCAGCCATCAGAGTAACTTAGATTCCAGCAGCAGATTGCTCCCAGTCACTGTTGTCAGCACAGGTTTTGGTCTGAGTTTTGTAACTTGGACAGGGCCAAGTTTCCAGCATTCTCAGCCTCTGAACGGATGTGAAGCTGGGAGTGGGCTTAACGCAAGCCCTGAAAGCTGAGCTCTGTCCCAGTGCAATGATATACCAGGATGTCAGAGGTTCTTTAATTAATGGAAAAGCAGAAACCCCCGCACACTGCTGACATTTACAACAAAATTAGGGCAGCACGCGTTACATATATCCCCATGAGAAACAGAGAGGGTTTAAAAACATTGACTAAATGTAGTTGTAAAAAGACCAGTTAAAATGGCCACTAATACTCTACAGATATTTTAACCCAACCATGAGGAGAAACAGATATTTTAATTGATTTACAGGCCTGCATACTGTCACAGGGAGATGAGATGAAGGAAGATGTAAAACTATGAGGAGTCTTTTGGAGACATTTAGCAGAGCATCTCTTCGCAGTTCAACTGCTTGGTCAATGCCAGTGATTATCACCTCTGAGGGAATACACCAGGAATATTGAGGGAACTAGTATTCTGTAAGGCTTGGTTAGGAGAGCAGAATTTTTTGTTGTCAAGATGTGTTTTGGTTTGATTTGTTTTCTTTCAAAGCATGTTTTAACAGAATCCAGGAGTAGAAAAAAGATCAAGTTTGATGTACTAGGGAACTGCTTGTAGCAAGATTTTTCTTGACAAGTATACCTCAGGCTGATAATGTTCAGCACACAAGCAGTTTAGAAGGCAAAATATACCTTTTGCTAGCTGGCACGATAGAGAAACATGCATGTAACTGCCTAACAAAATTCCTGAGGGGTGATGTAGGATTAGGAGATCTTACTATGGTTGAATGGCATACCACAGCCATTCACATTTTCTGAATATAGGAAAAAGACTCGCCCAGGTTTGGCACCGCTAAAGAGAAGCCGTGCTATTTAAGGCTGTGTTACCCTAAGAGCATCGTATGATGTAATAAGATAGGCAATGTAGTGCCAGGCTGCAAGACACTTCCAGGCATATTCTGGAACTGTCCAATATGCATTTTTGGACCACGATCATACTTTCAAAGCATGTGTTCTTAAAACTGATTGGGCAGTACATAGGCCCATGGTCAAGTTAAATGAGAACCTCTCAATTGTTCTTAATAATTTTAAGGGTACCCTTGCCTCTGCAAATACTGGGGACAGATTCCTAATATGCACTGATGCTGGCAACTAGTTGATAAGGCTCATTCTGCAGCATAAGAAAAAGAGCTTAAGTGAGACAAATTAATAAGTGCACCTTGCCCGCAATCTTAAATATTTTAAGCTGGAAATCAGAAGAGAATGCAGTAGACATTCACCACACGTAATAAGGCTTTGCAGAGCAAGCAGGCAGCACCAATGAAAGAGATAAGGACAGTAGATACATCCCAGCCCAACTGTGCAAATGAACCAACTAACAGTGTATTCAGTATGTCAGAAGTCAGCTACCAGTGGCTGGAAATGTTCATGTTATCAAATCAGTTGTCGCAATCTTCACTGGCCTATATGCTTTAACTTCTGGAACTCAAGAATTAAAAACAAAAGAAAAAAATAAAAGAAAGAAAGAGAGAGAATGAAGAGATTCAGCTCCCAGCAGAAACTGAACTGAGTGCTTTGAAGAATGACTGAAGGAGCCATTCCTCTTTACTTATAGTCCAGAAAAATCATACCCCATACTGAGCGTAGCTAATAGTCCTTCATTTGAAGGAACAGGTCCAGCACCTTCTTTTAAATACTGAGATCAGGAAAGCTGCATCCTGTCAGTTTAAATCCAGGTGCTTACTTTTGCATAGAGTCTGCTTAATCCACAGCTCTGCACCTGAGGCAACCACCAGATGGAATTGGACATGAACAGCAGGCAGGACAGAGTGAGGGCAGCAGCAATGAAGACATTTAAAGCACCACATGCACAGCACTTATTCTCTCTTCCTGGGAGCTCAAATTCGAAAGCAAAGAATACACTGGTGTACTAGTTATTAAAAAGAGCAAAATATATGATTATTCTCTCTTCCTGGGAGCTCAAATTAGAAAGCAAAGAATACACTGGTTTACTAGTTATTAAAAAGAGCAAAATATATGGAATCAGACAAAGGCATCAGTGGGAAGGGCATTCTCCTCAGCAAGATACTAGGGTGCAACAAGGTACAACTGGGCAAACAGAGAGAAACATCCTTGTCTTGTTGCCAAGCACTGTAAGATTATTTTTTTTTCCCATACTATTTGAAGATGCTGGAAATCAAATTGAAACTTTCCTTCATAAGGTTGATCTGCATTTTTGCATCCTAGCTTTAAGCCATATTGTTTTCCCTTTACCCTGGCAAAAGAACATGTGTTATAATTCAAGCAATTTTCAGTCCTTTCTCAAGAATTCTTGCTACAGATTGTATCTGGCTAGGATTTAGTTTTCCAACCCATGCTAAGAATACATAACTGTGCAAATCCTCTCCTTGGTTCTCACATCTGAAAGTAACGTTTTAGGCAATATAGTATGTTCCAATTCTAACTAAGCAGTCATCCTGTTAAGTACAGGACAAAGATGAGAACAAACTATAGGGCTATGCCTATTTCTAATGTTTCAAGCAGCAGAGAACCTGAGTTTCAGAAGCGGGTGCATTTCAATACATGGTTTATGGGGCAATAAATTGTAAGAGTACCAAGCAAGGGACAGATGAGTAGTCCGAGTAAGTATTGGTCAACTACAAGTCCTAAGATGGAAAGATTTCAGTAAGCCTCTATGCTATAACATTTAAGGTTTTAGAACAGAGCAATTTTGCAATTAAGAAAATAAAAAAGAAAAAAATACATTTGACAAGAGGATCCCAGAGAAAATGGACTGAATTAGCTCCCTCTGGGATATGAGGAAATATTTTCCAGTTATCTGGAAAACATCAGCAGACCTTAACATACCAAAGCAGGATTTTAAGTTTGGCCTAAAGACTACATTTTAGGAGAACCCTCAGCAACCCATGCCCTCCTTTTCCCTCCCACAACTTTCATACCTAACACAACAGGGTCTATTTTAGGGCTCTTGAAGGAGAAGAAAAGGTGAAGGACAAGAAAAGGCTGCAGTAGCCAACCATCCAACCCACATAATGGTATACAGAAGTCTTGCAGTAAGTTTTCCATCCCTATGTGGAGTTGTTGTTTCAGCAGATCAGTCACACAATAGTTCTGTGACAGATACTTTCAAGGCTGCATTTTCTCCCCTTTCCTTTGATATCACAAAAAATTCTACAGCATGTTTTGTCAGTCAGGCCAGAGACCAGATTACACATAAACAAGATCAAGCTAAACTCCTGCACCACCACCTCACCACATGATTATACAGTGAGAGAAAATAAGACTGCAGGCTACAATATAAAAACCCTATAATACACACGATGAAACAAGTTTTTAATATTTTTTCCAGAACAAAGTTTGAAATCTGAAGTTCAAAGAGGAAAGCATTAGGCAAAAAGGCACTGACAAAAAATGTAGCATGATGTACTTAAAATATCCTTTGTTAAGTAAAGTACAAATGAAACTGCAGAAGTACCTTGGTATCCACTAGTGCTGAAGACCAGTGCCAGGCTCTGTAATGCTTTTCCTATCTTCTGGTATTCCTTGGGTAGTGCTAAAAGAGGGAAAAAGATGGGGAAAAGAGGGAAACAGAAGCAAAAATGCACAAGGGTGAGACTAAATCTACTAAATCAGCATTTCCAAAACTTGACAGAAGCAGATGTCAAAAACAACTAGGTTTTACATTTCCTCTAGTGAAGCATTTACAATCACGTTCTTACCCCCTCCCCTGCTACAAACATTCCAAAACTGGATAAAGCAATTGCAATCTGGATTCTTGAAAGCCCCAAACAGTTGGGGAAATGGTGTGTGACTGCTATTAAAAAAAAAACCCAAAACCAAACAACCTCACTGCACTCCTAGCTCAGTCCTCCTATGTGTACAGTGCGATTTTTTTTTTCTCCCCCTCACAAGCAGATTTTATCCTCCTGGGGAAGGGGGAGGAGAGGGGTGTGCTGCAGCAATATGGAGATATGGAGAATAGATCTCATTAATATTTTAAGAGAGGGGATTATTATACAGACCTATAAAATATGTAAACTCTCCTCAAATCATGGATTTTATATTTTAAGACACTAGAAACCAAGATTACCTAGGGATAAAAATTGATGCAAGTATCTGAACAATAAAATTGTTTTTTATAATCTATTGATTGAAAAACATATGCATAAATTGCTTCCTCACAATGAAGTCAACAAGCTGTGATTTATGAGTGCACTCATTATAAACACTTTGGGTTTTAGGCCTCTGGGGTGGTGGTATTCACTCTGAAAAGTGAAAGCAAATTTTTATAAGCTACATAGGCTAGTAGAAAAAAAATCCAAGTAAATGTGCTTTTTTTTGTCAAACGCTTATATTCAAAGGGTACATTGTCCAGGTAATAGCAGGTTTCTAGTTGCTCTAGCATCCCACACAATCTGCTTTTTGCAGAGGAACCCTTTTGTGTGGTAAAAAAACCAACTCAAAAACAACCACCAAAAACCACCCCCCCCCCACCACATAATTTTATTGATTATCTTTGATCAAGTTCTTGCCCAGAAGTTAGGTTATTTATGACAACTGGTATTTCATATAACCGCAGGTACCATTCAGAGTACTAGAGTTCTGTTATCAGCCATTAACTTGTGACTGAAAACCCAGTGGAAACTTCGGTGAAGAACATTTGGTTTCTTTTCACTTGCATTTAAGAAGTTTCCAGTGTCACCCATTTTAAATATCATAGAATGGAATGCACATAACTGTTGCTCAGGAAGTGCCAAAAAATACTCATGACTAGGAGTTGGGACTAGAGCTGACAGGGAACTTAAAACTCAAGAGACTACTGAAATTCTTCAGTTTTGCATGTCCCGATTTACCAGTCTCCTTTTTCTATTCAGGATTAATGTCTGTAAAGTTAAAAATTAAAATTTTCAACACAAATCACACATCTTACTGCGTCAGTACTTACTAACTAATTAATAGCTGTAATTATTAGAAGAGTCATTCCATACCTAAAGCACTAGTGCCATAAGGTTAAGGAGATTTTGGTAGTGAACAAAATACCAAATTTCTACTGTAAGCACAAGCCACAGCCAGCCCTTAAATATGGTGGTTTTGATCCCTGCTTCTGTAACTGTAAAGCAACACTGTTTTTCTAGTCTCACCTAAGGGACCTTATTCCTTCCCCCGCCCTCTGCGTCCCCCTCAGTATCATTTCCTAGTGAAGCAAGATGTGTACAACATTAGAGCTGTGTCCTGTGTTGGACTAGTTTTGACCAGCAGGAGAGTCAGTGATGTGTAGAAGGAAACCCTCTTATTCAAAGTAGAGAAATGTAAATAATGTAAAGTTCACATCCTACAGATGCTAAGGCCTAATGTAATCACTACCAGAAGAGACTGGGCTTCTGTACTTCCCATTCCCTCTGGTCAGCCCCAGATATTCAACTGCAGTGTTACATTAGAAAGCAGCAAAGAGAGAACTCAGGAGATACTTATTCCCAAGCCTGGGGACAATTTTTTTTTTCCAGGAGGTAAAAAAAGAGGGGAAAAAAGGGAAAGAAAAAAAAAATGGAGGAGATTTGAGGAGATTTATTTTTTAGGTCTTTGGTCACCAGACGCTACAGCCTGCCCTGAAGTGTTTCTTATGATCCTCAGCTGTAGTACCTGCTTCTTTTCAAAAGCTGCCTTGTGGTGGCCACAAACACTGAACACTGCTGTGGACTAGAAAATTAGAGCCCAGGCAGATTCATAGGGACTTGGTGTGAAGTTCTGCAACCCTAAATATCTGTGGGAAGGAAGAGACAAGATAGGAGAAAAAGAATTGGGCTAAAGATTAAGTTAGAATCAAGTTGGGTTTTTTTCTTTTTCTTTTTTTTAAAACTCATTTCATCTTTACATCACGACTCCTGGCATACAAGAATCCTAAATAAGGGGTTAATAAAATCCAATAATTTATGATTTAATCAAATAGACAGGTCTACTTTGCCCATGTCACTAAAATGTCAATAAACGACAAATATATGAGAACAGGTCTAACAAGGGCTTCAGCTGGATTACAAGAATCATTTAACTTTTAATATAATTTTTAAACCTATGGGCAGGGACCAGATATTTCTGTTATGAGAGAAAGAAAAAAAACCAACAAAAAAACAAACCACAAAACCAAAAAACCCAAAACACCCAAACCAAAAACTTGCACAATTTCTACTCTCAGACACTGAAAGCAGCCAGAATGCCATACAATCCTCATGATAATTTAGGATTTCCTTTAGTTTTAAGATGTGCCTTTAATTATAAACAACAACAACAAAAGAAAAGCAACACAGAAATGACTGCTGAGTTCAGAAGGGACACTTACGCCCTGTACACCTCTTCCAGTGCTCTTGTCCCACTGTCAGCAGCTCTTTAACTCCATCATCCATTGCTTTGGTGAACCTACCCACTGCATCACATTTCTGCTCTCTGTGGCATTTGGAAAAAGCAAAAACAAAAAGCAGTTTAACAGATGTGTTACTCTAAATACAATATCAAAATGTTTAGTAGTATCAACTAAATCTTAAAAAAAAAAAAAAAAATCAGAGAAATAAATGAATTCCTTGAAATCCCTGCTATTTCACTGCAGTCAGAACTTCCCTCTTTAAATAGAAGCATTTTTCATTCTATTTTTCCCTGTCCGATAAACATGTGGTACTGCAATATAATTCTTACTATAGTTAGTTACCTGAACACACAAAAAAACCCCACCAAACCAAACAAAAAAAGGCTACTAGCTAAATATCCTCTCCAATGAGACCAAACAACAGAATAGCAAAATCTGATTTGAGGAACATGCATCCCTAGAGCACTTAAAACAAATGTAAGGACCCCACATTGACAGGAAATTAGATGTCAGAGTAACAGCAGTAGCAGAATTCATACAACAATGAACAAATATAAAGAAAGTAACTGTTCCAGATATTTTAATAGAAGTATAAAATAGGTGAATAAAAATTAATAACAGTTCTTCTAGAGAAACGTATATGCATAACTTTATATTATATTGACAATGCTGTTGTATTCAGTTGTGTTATAGAAAGGAAAAAAAAAAAATCAGTGATGCCCCAGTGAGAATTATGAATTAGTATGTGCCTTTTTACCCCTCTAAGCATGTTTTCATGCAGCTATCAAAGCTTTCCATTAGCATCGCACTGCATACACAGCAATGCTCTGTAAACTCTACAAAAGAAAACTAGACATGTATTTCCTAATTTTCAATGAGAATTATTCAAACAGCATCACATCTTACAAATGCTCTCAGGCAAAGCCTGTATGAGACAGCTCTCACATCAAGGCAACCCTGAATGACTCCCCAGAGCCAGGACAGCAGCTTCAGCTGTGGCCCAGCCACCTAAAGGCTCCCACCTCCCCACTGGCACCCCCATCCTCAGCTGGAAACTACCCGAAGATCTACTTGCACCGAAACAGAACCTGTGCTTTCCAAGAGGCCCTATTTTTACTCCAATTTTCCCAGTAGCAAACCATCCTTTTAAATTTCTGTACTTCATACTTTACAGTTCATGAATCGGCACAGAGTTACCATCCTTTGATCAAAACCAGGATGACCAGGACTGCCAAAGTACCAGAAAAATTGTTTCAGTAGAGAGTGTCTTTTCACTGCACAGCCTAAGAACTATTGGAAAAGCTCGTTTGTGCACTTAACAGTAGCATTTTTCAAGACTATTCATATACAATTTTAACAGCACCCTGAGAGGTTCCCAGACACTGGAACACAGCATGGATGTCTGAGGTGTAACATCCACTTCTGCAATGCTTGGAGACAGGTCTCCAGAACCGTCCCAGGCTGCCAGTCCCAGCCCAGGAGCCAATACCCTCTGAAGAGTGTTCGCTGCAGGCTGCTTGCTTGCCCTCACCCTGTTTGGGGACACATGCTGGTTGTTCCCTGCCAGGGTTATATATATACATAATATAGACTCAGATTCTCCTGTACCCTATGTACACAATTCTCCCTCTGGTTCACCCCTTCAGCTTTTATACCACTGGGATATATATAAAACACATGACCTAAGAAAAATAGCCAAGTCTGAAATCCTCATGTTCAAAGTAGAAGTGACCTAAAAACGTCCCATCTTTTTTATAGTACAAAACTGCGACCACACAGCTATTATATACATCTTAGTATGCACCACATCACTTGGATAAAGCCTATGCTGGGATATTCCCAAGTGTAGGTACACTAGTGCTTTGCTACTACAAACACTTCTGTCTAGTTTATCCAGTTTCAGACACAAAACATTATTGAAGTTTCTATGTTTACAACAGCAAGCAAAGCATGCCATGCATACTACATATCTTCTAAGAAAAATAATCATTAAGCCTAAAGGAGTGAAATAAAGGCTGCAGAGTAAATTTAGTCTTTCACTCCAAGAAACCCAGAAGTCTAACACCAAGAGAACTATACATAAAAAAGTGTATGTATATTTTATATACGTGTATGTTACATAAGTATTTCAATTTGCACTTACAGAAGGATACCCCAAAAATGTAGTAACGCATTTAAAATGAAAAGTGATTTAAATGATACAGTTTCATTTTTAATAGCTTTCCAATGGATTCCAGACACTAGAATGATACTGTGCGTGCATTATACACAAGTATTTTACAGAAACATTGATTTCTTTGATGGTCCACCTACAGTTATCCCAAGCTACTTGGCAAGTCTAGAACACTTTGGAGCTGTTCACAATTGAAGATTAAAATATACTCCCATAGCAATACAAAACATAACTCCATAGGACCTGCCAGTGCTCTCTCTCATCAACTAGTTTTGCATAAATCCTTTTAGGATCAGTATTCAGCCACTGAACTCAGAGACACCATAGGGAGTTTCACCAAGTTTTAGAGGGGTTGATATAAAAAAAACTCGTATTCAAAAAAATTTTCATCTTTACCTTGATGAATGTCTCTTCAAATCCATTAATATATCTTCATGCTTACTATTTTAGTCTTGTATTAGCTCCCTATCTGTTGTATATCCAGACGCATAATGTCCATGTAAAAAAGAAACCACCTTACATTTCTACCATATCCAAGTCAGGAGCCTCTGGTTCCATTGTAGAAAAGATCAGGACTCCTACAGTTTCATCTTTCTCTGCCTTCCGCTTTCCAGTTTTCCACTCCTTGAGGAAAGAAAGAAAAAAAATAAAGACAAAATTTGACCACTACTGTTTATCCACATAAGGGCATGTACTTAAGCAATGAATGAAATGTCTAGAACAGTTAACCAACAGACCACTCATACATTAAAACCTTCTAAATAAAAGTTTCAATGGGGCCAAGGTTTCCTAGAGTTTCCCTCCCTTCTCCTTGTAGGCTTTGTTTTCTACATGCTGGGGTACACACACCCTTCCTGTATATTACTGAAACAGCATGTGAAAGGAACTATATTCAGCTATATTTGCACATGATAGTGCTGATATCAGAAGCTACTCAAGAAGATCGTAAGACTATTATGCAATTGCCACACTAAGTTCTTAGGTGGGAACAGATAAAAAGGTTAAAAGTTCCACAGGTATTGCAATATGGTCTGACAGAACAGATAAGTCAGCTAGTAAGAACTGCTGATGAGCTAGCACAATTATACAACTCTCCACTTGCCATCTAAATAGCACTTCACTACGACTGCCACTTCCTATGTTATCAAGCCTCTATGTACAGGATCACAGAATAATTCTGGGTGGAAGTGACCTCAGGAGGTTTGTAGTCCAACCTCCTACTCAGAGACGGTCAGCTGTGACCTTAAGTTACTCAGGGCTTTATCCAGTCTAGTCTTAAAAACCTCCAAGGATCCTTTACTTTTTCAGCAAAGTGTATACGTATTTACAAGTAGGACTATTTTGAGGAGAAACCAGCATGAGTTTTGTCCTGGGTCAAGCAGAGAGTTAACTTTTTTTTTCTCTTCTTCATAAATAGCTAGCAAGAAGCTGTGTTTTGGATTTATGCTCAGGAGAAAAGTTGATAAGAAAAGGAATGTTTATAATTATTGCTAGGATACTTTCAAGGACAAATACCTTCAGCCTCTCTGCTCTCCGCAGACAGAGCGGGGGCAGGCCTGGGGGGGTGTCAGAGGGGGGCACCGTCCAGCTGCAAGCCTAGGATTTGCTCTTAGGTTAAGATTGAGAACCAGAGTGACCAATGGTATTCCATAACATGCATGTCATGCCCAGTAGATAGGTAAGAATGCCCGGAAGAGCATTCTCTTCTGCTCTTTTCTCTTGGGCTCCAGATCATC